CACCAAAGCTCTTGCCACCTCCAAAACCTTTGGTGGGGGGGCCGCTGGCGCCCTTGCCACCCCAGTCCTTGCCACCCCAGTCCTTGCCACCGCCACCGCCATAGCCGCCGCAGCCGCCACAACCACCGCCACCCCAGTCCTGACCGCCTTTGCCGCAGCCACCACAGCCGCCTCCCCAATCCTGACCACCTTTGCCGTAGCCACCACAGCCGCCGTTGCCGCCCCAATCCTGACCGCAGCCGCCGCCGTAGCAGCCGCCGCCGCCGCCCCAGTCCTTGCCACAGCCGCCCCAGCCCATAGTGGCAGGATATTTGGGCGCGCTACCAAAAACTGCAAGAAAGGGCCAGGCACGAGACCAGAAGGCTGGCAGCGTTTCTTGCAAGCAGACCCCACAAGCGAATCAAAGAACATGATCAAACTAGAGAAGCAAACAGCAAGACCACGTCGATCTACTGATCCATCAAAACGGCAGACACAGTTCTGGCAGGGGCTCACCTGCCAAAGACTGGTCCAGCAAGATAGAATTCGCCAACAAAATGCCAAAGCAAAAAATATGGCCCAAAGGCTACTGCTGCAATTCTGCTACGCTTTTTGCCGAATCATAACCTTGCAACCGCGTTGAGACACCCATGAGAACAATCACAAAATGGGGCCCGCTGCCCCCTGTGGGCCTTGTGACAGAGCAACTACATAAGAAATAAGAACACTCAGTGGACGGGATGGTAAGCTCACGCCGTCTTCTTGCCCCACATGTCCACTTGCAGCATGACCCCCTCAAAGACGGAGCCGTTCAAGGCAGCTGCTGCAGTCTGCGCCTCTGACTCGGATTTGAAAGCAGCTCCCCCGCTGCCAGTCCTGTGAATCTCCGCGTAGACACATGGGACACCGGCTGTGGACAGGTGGTCCTTCAGCTTCTTGTTGAGCTCCTTGCTGTTGGTGCCTGGCGGCAGTCCTCCGATCCACAACTTCCGGTCGTTCTTAAAGTCGCGCAGGCCGTTGGAGCCTTTGCCCATGCCCTTCATCATCATCATGGGGTTGAACATGGGTTGCCACACGCCGCAGCCGCCCCAGTTGCTGCCGCCGCCTTTGCCACCAAAGCTCTTGCCACCTCCAAAACCTTTGGCGGGGGGGCCGCTGGCACCCTTGCCGCCCCAGTCCTTGCCACCGCCACCACCATAGCCGCCGCAGCCTCCACAACCACCGCCACCCCAGTCCTGACCGCCTTTGCCGCAGCCGCCGCAGCCACCTCCCCAATCCTGACCACCTTTGCCGTAGCCACCACAGCCGCCGTTGCCGCCCCAATCCTGACCGCAGCCGCCGCCGTAGCAGCCGCCACCGCCGCCCCAGTCCTTGCCACAGCCGCCCCAGCCCATGATGAGAATGCTTCGGTGTGAGCTATCGCTATGTCGCCGCAATGTGCAGTCTGTCGCACGCAATGTTGTTGCAGTATGCTGACTGCCAAAACTAGCGCATGTCACATGTGGTTGCAAGCTCTTGCCGGGGCAAGCAGGCAAAGCCCTCGCTGGAGGCCTACGTGCATGATTACAATGCATCACGCAGTCACAATCGCTGCCACATCACTGACCGAATTTGCTTATGTGCTCGCCTGAGTGTAAGCAACAACAATATGCAAACTACTGACCGTCCGACCATTGCTTAGAAGACGGGAGAAAAAAAAGTGCCAGTGAAGCCAGAAATGCCCATGCCGCTTTTCCTGACCATGCACATAAGCCAGAAATGCCCATGCCTCTTTTCCTGACCATGCACATAAGCTTCTGTGAACTTGATCCTGCGGCCTGCTACTGATGAATTTCCCGGGCTGCGAATGTTGTGCCAACAGCATCGCGCAATCATGGAACTTGGGCTGCTCATGCCGCCTTCTTGCCCCACATGTCCACCTGCAGCATCACCCCCTCAAAAACGGAGCCATTCAATGCAGCTGCTGCAGTCTGTGCCTCTGACTCGGATTTGAAAGCAGCTCCCCCGCTGCCAGTCCTGTGAATCTCCGCGTAGACACATGGGACACCGGCTGTGGACAGGTGGTCCTTCAGCTTCTTGTTGAGCTCCTTGCTGTTGGTGCCTGGCGGCAGTCCTCCGATCCACAACTTCCGGTCGTTCTTAAAGTCGCGCAGGCCGTTGGAGCCTTTGCCCATGCCCTTCATCATCATCATGGGGTTGAACATGGGTTGCCACACGCCGCAGCCGCCCCAGTTGCTGCCGCCGCCTTTGCCACCAAAGCTCTTGCCACCTCCAAAACCTTTGGCGGGGGGGCCGCTGGCACCCTTGCCGCCCCAGTCCTTGCCACCGCCACCGCCATAGTCCCCGCAGCCGCCACAGCCGCCACAGCCGCCACAACCGCCGCAGCCGCCGCAGCCACCTCCACAACCGCCGCCTCCCCAATCCTGACCACCTTTGCCGTAGCCACCACAGCCGCCACAGCCGCCGCCCCAATCGTGACCGCAGCCGCAGTAGCAGCCGCCACCGCCGCCCCAGTCCTTGCCGCAGCAGACCCAGCCCATGATGAGAATCCTTCGGTGTGAGCTATCGCTATGTGCAGTCTGTCGCACGCAATGTTATTGCAGTATGCTGACTGCCTAAGCTCATGTGACATGTGGTTGCAAGCTTTTGCCGGGGCAAGCAGCCAAAGCACTGGCTGGAGCCTACGTGCACGATCACAATCGCTGCCACCTCACACCGAATTTGCTTATGTGCTCGCCTGAGTGAGAGCAACAAACAGAACAAAACCAAAACAAGAAGCCTGCCAAGCACAGCATGCCAGTCATATGCCAGTGACGCCCGCAATGCACGTGCCTCTTTTCGTGACCATGCTCATAAGCTTCTGTGAACTTGATCCTGCGGCCTGCTACTGATGTAATTCCCGGGCTGCGAATGTTGTGCAAGTGCATGCTCGCTCTGGCAGCGCAAACCCCACAATAAAATCGGCAATCATGGAACTTGGGCTGCTCATGCCGTCTTCTTGCCCCACATTTCCACCTGCAGCATCACGCCCTCAAAAACGGAGCCATTCAATGCAGCTGCTGCGGTCTGTGCCTCTGACTCGGATTTGAAAGCAGCTCCCCCGCTGCCAGTCCTGTGAATCTCCGCGTAGACACATGGGACACCGGCTGTGGACAGGTGGTCCTTCAGCTTCTTGTTGAGTTCCCTGCTGTTGGTGCCCGGCGCGAGCCCTCCAATCCACACCTTCCGGTCGTTCTTGAAGTCGCGGAGGCCGTTGGAGCCTTTGCCCATGCCCTTCATCATCATCATCATGGGGTTGAACATGGGTTGCCACACGCCGCAGCCGCCCCAGTTGCTGCCGCCGCCTTTGCCACCAAAGCTCTTGCCACCTCCAAAACCTTTGGCGGGGGGGCCGCTGGCACCCTTGCCGCCCCAGTCCTTGCCACCGCCACCACCATAGTCCCCGCAGCCGCCACAGCCGCCGCAGCCGCCGCAACCGCCACAGCCACCTCCACAACCGCCGCCTCCCCAATCCTGACCACCTTTGCCGTAGCCGCCGCAGCCGCCACAGCCGCCGCCCCAATCCTGACCGCAGCCGCCGTAGCAGCCGCCACCGCCGCCCCAGTCCTTGCCACAGCCGCCCCAGCCCATGATGAGAATCCTTCGGTGTGAGCTATCGCTATGTGCAGTCTGTCGCACGCAATGTTATTGCAGTATGCTGACTGCCAAAACTAGCGCATGTCACATGTGGTTGCAAGCTCTTGCCGGGGCAAGCAGGCAAAGCCCTCGCTGGAGGCCTACGTGCATGATTACAATGCATCACGCAGTCACAATCGCTGCCACATCACTGACCGAATTTGCTTATGTGCTCGCCTGAGTGTAAGCAACAACAATATGCAAACTACTGACCGTCCGACCATTGCTTAGAAAACGAGAAAAATGGCCTGCCAAGCACAGCATGCCAGTCATATGCCAGTGAAGCCAGAAATGCCCATGCCTCTTTTCCTGACCATGCTCATAAGCTTCTCTGAACTTGATCCTGCGGCCTGCTACTGATGAATTTCCCGGGCTGCGAATGTTGTGCCAACAGCATCGCCCATCGGCAATCATGAAACTTGGGCTGCTCATGCCGTCTTCTTGCCCCACATCTCCACCTGCAGCATCACGCCCTCAAAAACGGAGCCATTCAATGCAGCTGCTGCGGTCTGTGCCTCTGACTCGGATTTGAAAGCAGCTCCCCCGCTGCCAGTCCTGTGAATCTCCGCATAGACACATGGGACACCGGCTGTGGACAGGTGGTCCTTCAGCTTCTTGTTGAGTTCCCTGCTGTTGGTGCCCGGCGCGAGCCCTCCAATCCACACCTTCCGGTCGTTCTTGAAGTCGCGGAGGCCGTTGGAGCCTTTGCCCATGCCCTTCATCATCATCATCATGGGGTTGAACATGGGTTGCCACACGCCGCAGCCGCCCCAGTTGCTGCCGCCGCCTTTGCCACCAAAGCTCTTGCCACCTCCAAAACCTTTGGCGGGGGGGCCGCTGGCACCCTTGCCGCCCCAGTCCTTGCCACCGCCACCACCATAGTCCCCGCAGCCGCCACAGCCGCCGCAGCCGCCGCAACCGCCGCAGCCACCTCCACAACCGCCGCCTCCCCAATCCTGACCACCTTTGCCGTAGCCGCCGCAGCCGCCACAGCCGCCACCCCAATCCTGACCACAGCCGCCGTAGCAGCCGCCACCGCCGCCCCAGTCCTTGCCACAGCCGCCCCAGCCCATGATGAGAATCCTTCGGTGTGAGCTATCGCTATGTGCAGTCTGTCGCACGCAATGGTGTTGCAGTATGCTGACTGCCTAAGCTAGCGCATGTGGCGTGTGGTTCAAAGCTCTTGCCGGGGCAAGCAGGCAAAGCCCTTGCTGGAGCCTCGCTTGTGACTGACTGCAGTTGCCCGTGCTTGGCACTCCTTCAATCTCTCCATCTGAGAGTCCTCGAGAGCTAAACGTGATGATGGCAAAGTTTGTGCTAAAACGAATCTACCTTTAGATTTCACCTCGAACGGCGAATCGCCAGGTAACCCCCCAGAAGTGACGGATGTTCAAATGATACGTTCCAAACGTACATCGTCAGATGCATGTTGCCCAGCTCTGGTGTGACGTGTTTGTAGATTGTTGCAGGCTCCCCGAGGACCATTGGTTCATTTTGTCCTTTGGCGCACGTCGTTTTTCTTGGCGACTTGTTGGCCCTGGTGATAGGGTTCCGAAACTCCTTCCTGGGAGGTTCGGGGGGGAGACTTCCGGAGAGGCTCCGCGGAATGGCTTTTTGCAAGAATCGGTAGGACGGGAATCCACTGTTCTTGTCTCACATTGGCGAAGGCTACAGGAATGCGTGTGCGCACCTGTGAGCAGAAAAAGACAGCCACAAGACACGTTTGTGCTCACTTGCAGCAATCATGGTTTGCGCATGGTCCTTCTCTCCGAACCGGCGTTCTTGCCGGCGTTTTTGGGAATTGGCTGCCGGGAAAATTGCCTGCCATCCTGCAAAAGCTTTCCAGGGAGCTCTTTAGATCTCATGGCATGTTCATTTTCTTGGCCGCTGAAGCTATCGCAGGCTTTGGCGGCGGGAATTCTTGAACATGCCCAACTTTGTAGGCCCCCCCTTGCACAAGGAACAGATCAACACAAGACAAACAAACGGACACACAGACACGGACAGAGCGAGCAAAAGAAAAAGGGAGAAAGGGAAGCGAGAGCGAGAAAAAGAAAAAGAAAAGAACACATACAAAAAGGAGTCTGAGAGGACGAGAAACAAAAATGAAACAGCAGTGCAATGGAGAGAGTGGAGTGGAGAGTGGAGTCGAGAGTGGAGTGGAGAGCGTGGAGCGAGTGGGGAGTCGTGGAGTGGAGGGGAGAGTGGAGAATGGAGTGGATAGCGGCGAGTGGAGTCTGGAGAGCGGAGAGTGGAGTGGAGAGCGAGGTTGGGCACGGGGCGGCGCAAAGGGGGGGGGGGGGTTCACGTGTTTTGACCATTGACCTGTAGGCAAACAGTTCGTATCACTTGTGCATATTGGCACAAGGCTCCCTTTTCCTACCAATAAAGTTCATACCCGCTGAGGAACTCATTGATGACTGGACCTCTTTCACAATCGCTGAATCAGACCGCTGCACCCTCCTCAAGAGCAGGCAGACAGAGAGCTTCTCGACAACGAGACCCAGCAGAAGGAGTCAACAACTTCGAGAACACGTTGAAGAAGTACTGCCAGGAACGACCAACGTGTATCTTAGGTTCTTCACAGAAGACACAAGTCAGAGTTCTCCGTTTGAGATCTTGCTACGCCGATTGAATGCCGCATGGAACGATGAGCGCCGCCCGTGCAATTCCTAAACCCGGCCCCGGAGACTTTGAGACAGTGCGTCAACGGAATGCAACAAGGACACTGTGACGTGTTTCCACTCAATGATAACCTCGTTGCACAATTCATCATCATTCACAGTAAACTACCAGATCAGCAGCGAGGAAAGCTGATCAGCACAATATCTTTGAGGAACATCCACTTGGAACATTGCACGTATGAGATGCTGAAGGCACAGTATCACGACCTCTTCATCACAACCAGAACTTCGATCCAAGATCCAACACTTCGACTGCCAGGAGGTATCTTCTACATTCTCGCACACGGAGCATACGAAGGTTTTGGGTTGAGGATGGAGATGGACATGACGGCTTTGCGGGAACCGAAGATGAGGAGACATTCTGGGTCCTCGAAGATCATGCGCATCGACGAGGCGGTGACGGAAAGGCAAATGTGGCCAATGAACATCAGGATCCCTACGACCAGTATTGGGGGGAAAGGCAAAGGAAAGCACAAGTAGAAGAACCCTCTCGATGCAAACAAAGGTTATCAATCCGACCAAGACGGCAAAGGCAAAGGCGGAAAAGACCGTCGCAGAGAAATCAGAGGAGCAACCCGCCCATCAGCAGGCTGCTGACCTCCCAGAGCATTCATACGCCGACCCATCGTGGAGCACAGGACGCGCAACGATGACCCGCGAGACAACCCGAGCTCAGCCAAGGTTTTACTGGACCTTACAACTCCAGCCAGCAACATCAACATTCTAAAGTAAACCAACAGTCCTCAGTTGGTCAAATTACAAACTTGCACATGGCCATTGAGCACATTCCTCAATGTGAAGCTTTTGGCATGTGTGGGCAGCCAGTTCCCGCATTACAGGACACGCTCTCGTTGATCTTGCAGGGGTGGCAGAGATGAAGAAGCGATCGCTCTGAAAGCCCTCAATCACTTCGTCTATGATGACTTCTTGATATCTCACTCGCCTTCACATCACGCCTCGAAAGGCATTGTTCGCACCAACAGGAGTGAAGGAGCGCCCAATAGCCCCAGATAAGGTCAGCCAAGAACGCACCACACACTTGATTGGTGCAGCAACAGGTGGAGATCCAGATCTGCTGAAGACAATTGGAGACTGACCTCGCGGGCAAACCGAGCAATGGTAAACCGGTGGGCAGGTTGCAGACAACCCGCTAAAGGATGAAGAAGAGGCCTCATCAGGATCAGCAGCAGGTAGGTTAGAGACTGATACCACAGTGGGTAGTTTCTGCTCCGGGACGGCGGGGTGTGAGAGGAGACGAGAAGAGAAGAGAAGAGACGAAGAGAAAAGAAGAGAAGAGAGGAGAAGAGAGAGGAGCGTGTAACTACTGCAAACTTGTTGGTGGCTACGCCATCCGAGTCCACAAGCGACAACGCAAAGCACGTCAGCTCACACAACAGCTTTTGCCCCACATCTAGATGATTGGTGGCTGACCATCACAGACATGGGCAAGAACAAGAACAACTACAAGAGAACACCCTTTCCAAACAAGAACTACTAAGAAGACTTAAAGGTGATGACTTGGCTGGAGAAGCCAGATTCCGAAAAAAGTCACACCTACACGTCGACTGACATCAAAGACTACACCAGCACGACAAAGCTCTTCCGACAAGATCAAAACTTCAACTACGCACTCCGCAAAAGGATTTGGAAACCCAAAGCAGCATCTTCAAAAGACATTGCCACTACACAGCCAAAGACGACCACCGACAGCACAAGAAGACAACCAAGACTACTGGGAAAGACAAGGTGAACATTGGGTAAGACACCACACAACACGGACCGCGGACCACACTTTGCACACGTACAGATGCACCAGAACATCCACCCATCAACACACTTGAGCCTTCTAGAACTACAATCTCTAAGGTCTTCGGCTCGGCGAAGTTTCACAACGCAGCCGACTGACTGAGCAGCCGTTCGCGCTGTGACACTAACCTTCCAATGAACACGCACTACGAGGCTCGCCACCAAGAAAGACTACGAAAATCTCCAAGACGACCACGACAAAGAACAGCACTACGAACACCACGAAGCACGCAAAGCACGAGGACTACGACAACCTCAACAACCGGACCAACGCCGCAACAAACGTAACACACTTACCATACCGCAACTGGTGTCCAAATTGCGCACAACCACAAGCATCTGCCTTTGAGCGCGGAAGAACACAAGGCATACTACAAAGCAACCACTACTCAAAGCAACGCGGCCCAAAGTCGGTTCAATGACTGTACTACAGAAGCAACCGTCAAGGCAGCGTTGCATGATTACAAAACACTTCTCGGACAGATATGGCGCATTCGGCAAAACACTACTCTACCCTCAACCACGACACAAGAAACTACCAAAAGCTGACCTCCGAACGCAGAAGTGCGTTTGGCTCGGAGACGCCTCCGAAAGCGGAGAAACGTACAAAAGACAAGGACCGTACGTCGACTGCGACCAAACTTCAAGTACAACCTGGAGCTACTGAACAAGGTCCCTGGCACGCCTTGGGCACCACGACGTGAAACTTACAACCCGTCATAGGCGACACACTGGACAATCAACTTCGAACGTCGGAACAAGGGAGACGGACTACGCAGGACGCAGAACAAGAAGCAAACGGCGCAGACGACATCATCGCAAAACCAGCGACAAAACAGCAACGCCCTACGTCACCTCCACGACTACCACCCACCTTGATGTCAACTTCACGACCACTATTAGACAGCCCCATGGCTACTTCACTTCAACCGAGTCTGAACTTTACGTAATCTGCACGGGAGTCAACAAGGGACTACACCGCAGAAACTTCCTACTGGAAACAAACAATTGCGGCAAGCTCAATCTACGCATACACGCATACTCCTCAGCAGGCAAAAAGCATTGCTACACGACACGGCACCAGCAAGCTAGCAACACACCTTCAACACGACATCACACGCATCCACAAGGACTGCAGCTGCCCAATGGCTACTACACCGGGCCGCGCATCCGGCGGCCGATGCTACAGACACAAGTTCGTCCGGACTGGGACCCGAACTACATGGCCTCAACTTCGCACAACAACCGGCCAACTACAAACAACAACTATTGGAAAAACTTTCCTCTCAATTGCAACTTGCGCAACATCCACGACTCCAACAACTTCGGCCTACACATCGCGACACACTTGGAACTACGGACCACGCCACCTGCTCCAACGACAACACAGCCGACTACGTTGGATAACTTGCACACCATGATGGACACTACTCCACGACCGCAATTCACACCACTATCTACATGCATATCTACAACAGACTGCAGATGACGCACAGTCCTGCAGTTGCACATGTGCGGTACTACTACGCAATCACCGAGCGTCACACACCCCACGTTCTACTGACAGCAGCACGACCCAACCACTACATCCAACCACTACGTCGAGATGGGGCTACCTCAATCGTTCCAACTCGGCCATGAGCAACTACTGTCTACTACGTCCACACGCTCAACGGCTTCATCTGAGACGACCATCTACTACTGCACACCAACACACTTCTACAATTCTACCAACTACATTCAACAGACAACACCATTAACAGAGCTACGGGTGCACACTACTGACTTCGACCGAGTACAGGGACACATTCCCGTGTACCTGATCAAGGACTACTATCGTGCCCATGGATCAGGCCTCGACTGACTGCATGGAGGATCAGGACACCCAGACCGCACTAAAACAGAAGCCACATCAACGCAGCTACCAGCAGCACGCTAGTACCTGTGGGAGTGCTACATCCAAACCTCACCCAACAGTGTTGGAACCCGACGCAGTTTTCCAACTGTTCTTGAAATAGAATGTGAAGTGAGTCTGTTCGGTATCAGTCCCTGAATGTGGCCCTTCTCCCCTTGTCCACTTCCAGCTTGTTGGAATCAGTTCAAAAACCATCATACTGAAGGGGCGTGTCAAGATTCAAGATGCAGCAACTACAGGTTGCATGCATTGTACACTGCAGGCCTTGAGCTTCAATACTACATGCGAGCTTTCTGGAACACAGGTGTCATATTAGTTTGATTTCAACGAGAGAGAGAGAGAGAGAGAGAGAGAAAAAGAAAGCAAGCAAGCAAGTAAGCAAGCAAGAAAGAAAGAAAGAAAGAGTGAGAGAGAGAGAGAGAGCGAGAGAGAGAGAGAGAGAGAGCGAGAGAGAGCGAGAACCCCTCCGCCCAAACAAAATCACTGCTTCTCTTTGGGCTCCCCTTTACTCTAAATCCCAAATCGGCGTACCCCTGGAAGAAGACTGCGTGGCATCCTGCGGTGCATCAAGAAGCTTCGCTGACATGTGGCCCCGACTCCAGTTCCATATTTTGGTTAAATGGCATCTTTGATTCAAGCTGGGCTGGTGTTCTGCTTGCACTCTCTCGGGGGGGGGGGGGGTTAGGGGGGGGGGCTTTTTTCGGGAGGAATTATTGCTTGTGAAGTGTTCCTCTGATTGCTGCAGGATCAGAATGCTGCCCGTTGTCATTTCCTCCGACTGCTCCTCATAAGTGATCCTGGCTTGCTACTCATGAATTTCCGGGCTGCGAATGTCGGGCAAATGCACGCTCACTATGGCAGCGGAACTCTTGCGATGAAGCATCGCTAATCCGCTGCCTGCGAGCAATTGCAAAGGCCTGCTCATGCCGTCTTCTTGCCCCACATGTCCACTTGCAGCATGACGCCCTCAAAGACAGAGCCGTTCAAGGCAGCTGCTGCAGTCTGCGCCTCTGACTCGGATTTGAAAGCAGCTCCCCCGCTGCCAGTCCTGTGAATCTCCGCGTAGACACATGGGACACCGGCTGTGGACAGGTGGTCTTTCAGCTTCTTGTTGAGTTCCCTGCTGTTGGTGCCCGGCGGCAGTCCTCCGATCCACAACTTCCGGTCGTTCTTGAAGTCGCGCAGGCCGTTGGAGCCTTTGCCCATGCCCTTCATCATCATCATGGGGTTGAACATGGGTTGCCACACGCCGCAGCCGCCCCAGTTGCTGCCGCCGCCTTTGCCGCCAAAGCTCTTGCCACCTCCAAAACCTTTGGCGGGGGGGCCGCTGGCACCCTTGCCGCCCCAGTCCTTGCCACCCCAGTCCTTGCCGCCACCGCCATAGCCGCCGCAGCCTCCACAACCGCCACCTCCCCAATCCTGACCGCCTTTGCCGTAGCCGCCGCAGCCCCCGTTGCCGCCCCAATCCTGCCCGCAGCCACCGTAGCCGCTGCCGCCCCAATCCTTGCCACAGCCGCCCCAGCCCATCGTGAGCTGACCAAAGGCCTGGATAAATCGCTGCCTCTCTTCTGGGCAGGGGCTGAGCCTGGACGCTCAAGGCTGAATTTTTAACCCCCACCCCCCACCCCGCACCCCCACCCCCTACCCCCGGCCCGTTCCTGAACATGGTGTATTGTTCGCTGCGGCCGCTGCATTTTGGGCCGCGGCCCTGGTCTTTTGCGCCCTGCCCACGGACAGCTTTAGCCCGTGGCACGGCCGGAAACGCCGCTATCGCGACTGCTGGGTTAAAATCAAGGCGGGCCTTGTGGGCAAAGTCATCAGGAAATCAAAGTATCCAGCGAAAAAGCATGGCAGCACCGCTGTGCCCCACACCCCTCGACTCACAGCACAAGCCAGCACGCAGTTTTTAAGGAGCCATTGCCAGATCTTCCAAACTAAAATAACAACGATCGCCCCACACAAAAGACCTTGCAATGGTCTTTCCCCTCCGCACCCCCCCCATATTCAAAAGCTCAGGCCATCAGCCAATCAGCCGGTCGCACATCACAGCTCTGGCCGGCCACGCAGGAGTCCTCAGCACGTCATTCGAGTAGTGAACATGCCCCATGCAAAAATAAAAAGAAGAAAAACAAGAAGAAAAAAACAGGGGCCCAGGCTTTCCTCCCATCATCTCTTGAATTGCTAAACTCAAAAGTCTCTGGTTGGACACTGGCCGAATCAGAAGCCACATCAGCTGCAGGCCGAGGAACCCTTGGACCTCGGCGGCACACTTTGCGCAGCGAAGCGTGCGGCGACGCGCTGCAATCAAAAGTCAAAGCCAAAACGTGGCGCAGCGTATCAAATTCCATGCCATCGAAAAGACTACAAAGAGCTGCCACAATAATGTTTGGCAGCCTTCAAAGTTCCATGAGCAGCAGATTTTGGCGGGTGGCCCAGAAACGTGCCCTGCTGGGCGGAGAGTAGCCCCGAATCCCGTCAGGCAAGCGCGCGCCGAACTAACACATGACGCATGCCTTGTAGAGAATTTGCTTCCACCCCCTAAGTTCCTGCTCTTCTTCAGCTCGTGGCTACGCTGTGGCCGGATTCCTCGAAGCACGAAAGATAAAACAGGCCCCATTCCGTGACCCAATTTCTGCCCCAGACCAAAGACCCGAAGGGCTTTCGGGAACTGGTTGGAAGGTACCTGGAATGATCACTGAGCTGTTCCGAGTTCTGCTATCCGCGCGTACAAACCTTCCAACCGTTGCTGTTGTTGAGTGGGCTCTTGCTGGAAGAACCCCCCCCCAAAGAATAAAAAAAAAAACGAGAAAAACAAAAAAACTGCCTTACCCTCCTGGAGCCTCCTGGGTGTCCGTGTTTTTGGGGTTGACTTCGGAGGGCCCAGCCCTCGCCTTCCGAAAAATGAGGCCCGGTGACTCCAGCAGCGCCCGGATCTTCCTCACCGCCGTGTCGCCGATCTCGGTGGCGGACGGCTCCTCGTTGTTTGCAGGGGATCCAATCTCCAAAGCGTCCCTGTGGTCTCCCTGGAGAACCCCCCCCAAAAAAAGAAAAAAACACCAGGAGAAAGAGGAAAACAAGATCACCCTGAGCGGGGAAGCATGGTTATGGAGAACAACCCTTCCTGTGATATCGACGTGGTGGCTAAGCAAGTATACAGCTTGTTCGCTTATGATCAGGTCGCTCGGTTCAATCCCACGAGCCCATTCCATCTGTGTTGGCCTTTATGGTACAAGGGAAACAGGGGAAGCGGTCAAGTCCTAAAACTTGCACCACGTCCCAACTTGCTCTCCTTTGCCAGCCAGTAAGGTCATTGGGTGCCAAGGGCTGGCCGGCCCACAGCCCATATTCGCCAAATACATGTCCAGCTGAGCTTTAGAGGCACGCAAAGAGACCAACTCTTTGAACTCGCCCCTGGCCCGCGGCTGTCCCCGGTGCCTTGCTGCCGGCCTCCACAAAGAAGAGGGTGGGGAAGCCCTGTGCCATTGGCCGCACGAGTGGAGCACATGGGGCGACCATCCGCTCAGCCCGAGCTTGGCTTTTCCGCAAGCCAACCCCTTCCCGCAACCGCACGCCGGAAGCTTGGACAGTTCTATGAACCCCTAAAACCTCCAAAGGCTGAAACCAACACCACAACATCGCCGAAACAAGAAGAACCAAAAGCTCAACCGCCCCCCCCACACCAACTCCACGCCTCAACCCCCCAACGCCTCAACCCCCTTTGCCCTCACCCCCCCCGCCCGGACTCTGGCCGCACCTTCACCTGGAAGCCCTGCACGGGCAGCTCGTTGGCCTCCCCGTCCATCCGCGCCAAGAAGATCTCCGGCGCCACCTCCCGCGCCAGCGCCTCGAACCTCGCTCCGTGCAGCGAGCGCCCAAAAAAAAGCTTCTTCGGCCCAAAGGCTCGACTTGTGGACCCCAAGGTGGAGATTTACATCTAGAAAATTCCCTTTACGAAAACTGATTCGCCAGCTTTTTTTCGGGTTTTGAGTTCATCTGCAGGTGATCAAAACCCTTGGCCTCTTGGCTCAGTCCAACTCGCTGTCCCGCCAGGCTGAGGCCCCTGGCTCGGGCATCATCCTCTGGCAGTGGGGGCAGCCCTTGGCCTCGCAGCAGCATTGGACCAAAATCCTTCCAGCGGAAGGCGGTGTTTTTGGCGGAACGAACCAAAGGCAAAATGAATGACACCCTCAAACTCCGCCCGGTGTCATACCAAAGGGCGCCCCAGCCCCGAGGGGGCGGTCGTGTGCAACACCTACTTCTGTCCGCCCACCCACCACCCACCCGAAGCCGAAAAGCGTAGAGCATCAGCAGGCAGCTCTTTGTGTCGTGGAAGACCACCGAGAGGAAGTTCTTCAGCACCACCGTGAGAATGGGCCCAGAACTCGACACAGGCACCTCCTACGCGCGGGGAGTCCGGCGCTCCAGTTGTGGCAGCCCTCTGAGAGGCTGTGCTGCGGGGGAACCAGGGTCTTGTCATTCTTCCCCTTGAAGGCCCGAGTGCACATACATGAAGAATCATCCCACTTTTGATTGGCAAACTTAAAGGCTTGCTGTTCCACGCTTCAAACCACCAAAGCCTTAACATCCTGTTTGACCATGGCACACCGAATCCGACCGTGGCGTGGTCCCATACTTGCCCGCCTCTGAGCGGAATCGGCTCAGCAACTCCTCTTGGCTCGCCTCTCAGCGAAAGGCGACACAAGCCATCACCCCAACAACAACACCCCTTCCTCAACAGTTGCTTTGTTCTCTGCTCTCCTCCCCCTCCGCTACTGTCTGCATCGCCCCGCCTTCGCCTTTGCCTCGCCTGCTCGCGCAACGCCCATCCTGTCCGCGAAGGACACCAAGCCCTCCAGCGTTCGCTCCTTAAAGGCGGGCTCTCGGACGCAATGAATCCGTCAACGTCCCTGATGAAGGGAGACTCAAAGCAATTCTACATCTTTTCGGGGCTCTGAGCAAACTGTTCTCCATTGCCAGGAAAAGACAAATTTGTCAATCGCGACGGATGTGTTTCACAGCTCCCGTCTCCTAACATGGTCCCTCGAACTCACCTAATAAATTGCACTTACCACTAGGTGATGTTCAAACACAAAGCTTGTATACATATGTGTATACATGCATAGATGCGCAAAACTCACTCGTATGTGCATTCATACATACATACATTACACTACATTGCATTGCATTACATTACAAGGATGCATTTCATTGCATTGCATTGCATTGCATTGCATTGCATTGCATTGCATTGCATACATGTATGAATGCATGTATGAATGCATGTATACGCATATACATCTTTGCACTATACATCTCTTCATCCGTACATATACACATATATACAGCTCGACATCATTACCTGTATGCCTAGAACTGTATACATGTATGCATATGCACATGCATCAAAATGCGCACATGTATGCATAGCTGCATGCATACAGATGTATATATATATATATATATATATTTGTACATAGATGAAAATATATATATATATATGTACATACATATATATGTAGATACATTGTGCATAAGTACACGTGTACATTTGAAAATCTGAACATAGGCACATATGCTACAAATACACATATGAAAGTATATAGATACGCAAATATATCATTATTCAATACCTGACTGTCTAACTGGCCCCGCAAAGGCCGAATCGGAAAGAATCAAACCATCTGCTTGAGGCTCCTGCACCTTGGAGACCTTCTCTGATCCCGGGCCCAGGTAGAAGATGGTGGGGAACCCCGAGTACTCGAAGCCCCCGTACCTCAAACTCGACTCGCCCGGGCAAACTAACATGGGCGCCTCAAAAGGGGGAAGCACTCACTTGCGACACAAGGTTTTACTCGTGTGCGACTGCACCTCATTTTGGCTCACTTGCGCCGCAAACCGGACTCACTTGCGACTGTTCACTTTTCTGAGGTGTGCTCGCGCACTCGCTTGCGACGATTCAGAAGAGCGGGGGGGGGGGGGGTTGGGGGGGCCATGATAAGCACACCCCCTCAACTGAGCCCACACTCCTTCACTTTGGACGCAATATTTTTTCTGTGGGGAGTTTCTTCCTTTTTAAAGGGGGGGAATGAGAAGCGCACCCGCTCTGCCCACGCAGCCTGAAGACAAGAGGGGGGGGTTGGTTTGTGGCATGATAAGGACACCCTCTCCACTGAGCCCGCGCAAAGTGCTCTATCTCTTATTTGGGGGGTTGTGTCTGTGCGTACGCTCTCCCGCTCTTTTATTTGGGGCGCAACACAATATCTCCCTGAAGATTGTTGTCTTTCTGTTAGGGAGGGCATGAATAAGCACACCCGCTCAACTGCCCGAGCAGCCTGAAGACAATCTCTTTCTGAGGGGCACACCCGCTCAACTGAGCCCGCGCAGCGACAAGGAGTACAACACAGCCTTCCATACATATTGCTTCAATCCTCGTGTTGGCGATCTTTCTTCAGGTGACCTGGCGACCCCACAGATAACCCTGGCCCCAGCCGGTTTTCGCTTGGCTCACCAGGGCAGCGCATCCACCAATCGCAGCTGCTGCCACAATTCGATGCACCGCGTACTGCTGTCCAGGGACCATCTGCAGCAACAGCATCATGAAGCAGGCGCTCGGATCATCTTCCCACGGTCGGAACTTGCCGTGGTACGCGGGCCACACAAACTCAATGGGCTGAGTTCGAACAAGCATTCAAGACTGTCACCTGCCTCATTACGCCAACCCCTGCGAACAGCCAACATACATTGCGTATCACCAACACGGGTACCAAAGTGCTATAAAACACTTGCAAAATACTTGCAAAATACTTGCAAAATGGCAATGCACTTGCGACACAAGCTCGCAACGAACGCGACCAGTCAAGAACCACAAATCGCCGGGAGCAACACCCCCGTGGTCAACACCGGCCAACTGAAGAAAGGAAACCCCACCATTGCATTTTTTTACGCACTCTCGAACTAGCAATCGCCGGAAACCATCCAAACACAGGGGTCTCTGGGTGTCCCCAAAGAAGGCCTCTTCCAAAACGTGGGAGCGACGCGCATCACATCTATCGATGGTTTGTGATCATGTATCTACGCATATAGCCATATAGCCATATGGCCATGGGAATCAAAGTCCAAATCGTACCCCCAGTGAACATCCCAATCCAACCACTAAAATAGGCTAAGATGGGTGGTGCACCTACCCCAAGATGGTACCCTTGGTTTTGACCCACAGCCATACAAATATACAGGCACAATTTCTCCGTCCGCATGGACGTGACCATTGTCAAGTTGCGGGATGCCATTGGCCTCGCCGTTCAGCTTTGCAACCACCAGGTTCCGCCCCTCCTGCGAGACAGCGGGCAGCCCGAAGGCTGCCTCACCCCCTTTTCGAAAACAGGGCAGCTCACGGAATTAAAGCACGTGGAGCCCAAAAAGGCTTGCGGCCGCTTGGGAAGTCTCCCTCCTGACCGTCTCCCACCTCCGCTCCTCGCCCATCCGAGCGGCGAAGGCCTCGTAGACCGGGGCCAGCTGCTTGCAGTGCCCGCACCAGGGCGCGTAGACCTAAAGAGATTCGCCGATGCGAAGCAACCAAAAGAATCTATAGGCCAAAGGGGCCGAAAGGACACATGAAACCATCGAAAAACAGATGGGAACCAGCTAAGGCCTCTCAAAAGGGCTGAAAGCGGGTCATGCAAGCTTTTTCGGTTTGAAGCGCTGCCAAGCTTGCAGCGGGGCTTCTATCAAGTTCAACAGGAGTGTCAGCAACACCAAAAACCAAAGCATCGGGAAGGCCAAAGCGCAATTGCCATGCAAAATATGAGTCGTTCTGCGCGAATTCATGAAAGAGAGCGACAACGCCTGCATCGAACCAGAAAATTGATGACATCACAAGAGAAGCTCAAATGGCCTAAGAAAGTTGGATTTCGCTCACAATTGCTCGCCGTCGCTGTTGCCTAGCCCACTGATGAAAAATTGTGCTTCAAAGCTCACAAGGACACGACCCACCCGGCATCTCCCCAGGAAAGAAAGAAGGCCCCAAAAAGCCACCCTAGACCCTCCACTTCTCGCTCAAACCCCCACCTCTAACCACACACCTCAACCTTTTCCCAAACACACCTGTCCCCAAACCGCCTCCAGTATCACGTGCTGATTCCGGTCCAGCGGATCGAACACCACCTGAGCAGCGCCAGAAAGTAAACTCACACTAGAATCTCCGCTAAAGGGGGCCTTACAGTAATCCCCATTTTGTTACTCCCGCATGGGTTATTTACGTGAACCACCTGCTTGCGATGGTGCAGGTATTTCTATTCCGGCCATTTCGAGCAAACAAGCATGTAGAGCACCCGGCCGCCCACAAACACGTGGCCAGCGGAAGGCCTGCCGGAAGTTGCTCCCCACCGCGGTGAGCACCGGCGAGGTCTGGCTCGCCGGCGCCGGCTCCGACTTCACCAGCTGCTCCGCGAGCCACAGGCCCACCTCCTCCTATGCCGCGACAAGAGGTTTGGGGTGGGAGGGGGGGGTGGGGGGGGGCCACAAAGCGTGTCGCAGTGTTTTGGCATTGTTGTTGGTGTCTTGGTTGTATTCTTTGGAATCATCTTGTGCTGAGGGAGGGGAAGGTCAAAGATCATTGAGACTGCGCCTCCCGGAATATGTTCCTCAAGCAGAAAAGGGCCTCCTGCAAGAGCATCAAGGCCAATTGGCAGCACAGCAACGATGACAAACACAGAGACGCGAGCAGGTAGGGATCCGTCCCAAGGCTTCATTTGTCAACTGGGTAGAAGCCGCAGCTGAGCCTCGTCGGAAAGTTCTGCGAACCACAAGGCTCAGAGAGACATTTCTGTTACGAACTCTTGGCCCTGGTCCCCTCATTGAGCAGGGATCGCTCCAATCAACTCACCAGAGATCCCGCAGATTATCATGGAACCCCCGAAGGTCATCATCTTCAAAGAACCCCCCCTCCCCCCCCCCCCCCCCCCCCCCCCCCAATTTTTTGGGGTTCCACGGTTGGGGCAAAGACCCTTGCTCTCACCCGGAAGCTTTCTGGATCAATCTGCCGTCTGCGCCTCAGAGATCTTGCCTTCGTACCTGGGCCGGGAGGACGAGTCGACGCCACAAGCTTGTGAGAAGCTCGGGTTGTGAAGACATGACACGCGGGGAAAGAAAGGCGGACAAAAGGATCTTGGAAGATTCGTAGTTGCGCCAGCGATTCTCGGCTCAATGAATCCCTGGACGGCCCCCCGCCTGGAGGCTCGGACCCTTTTGGTTCGTTGCTTTGATGAATAGAGGAACAACCCCTCCCCCCCCCCAAAAAAAAAAAGGAACTCCCGAGACCCGTCGAGGCGCTCAATGCTGGCCGACGGCCAAACCAAGGCCAAGGACTCCCGATCCTCAGCCGGCAACCCAAATCAGACCTTTTCCACCAAGCGGGTGGTTGAAGGCCCCACTTGAAAGGGGAATCCGAAACGGAGCTGATGTTTGAAAAACTAGGAGAATGGGTTGGCTCAATCCCGCTTCCTGCTTTGGTGTTTGAGTCGTTTCGTGTTCCCGACCCCCTTCAGAAGCAGCACGCAATGCCAAAGGCGCTGAAATGCGATCTCAAAACGGCGTTCCCATTCTTTTATTGCCTGGCGGATGGAGGGTTCGGGGATGACCTAGCGCCAAGCTGAAATGGTTGGCCCTTGAGACAGAAAATGCCAAATCCAGGCGCTTGGAACAGTCCACAACCCAAAGCAGCATCACCTTGTCGAAAAGGATTTCGGAAAGGGATCGAAAAGCCGAAGCAACGCACAGCAATGTCGAAAAGAGCTTCTGATCACCATCCAAGCGATTGCTTTCCCGCCGAGCTTTTTCGAATAGGGCCGTGCAAATCGTCGCTCAAGTTGAAATTCCGCAACCAAAAGGTTGAACCATCCTGCTGCGATTTCCTCGGCGACGACGTAGGGTGTTCAATCTCTAGGGGTACTTCTCAAACTTTGAAGGGGATGTCCCCAACGGCGTCACTGAAAAGGGCCCAAGGCGGTACATTCCCCCAAGGTTCCCAATATTTCCCAAAGCACCACCCCACCTCAACAACACTGATAAGTCTAAACCCACCCTTTTTCGATGAAATCTCTTCCATGATTGTTGTAGTTGGAAAGGCTACAGCAACTTGTAAATTCAGGCAGCCCTACCCCCGCAACTCTGCGAACGCCCTCCAAAACATCTGCGGCGAGCAGCAGCGGAAAGCCTCGCCAGCTTCACCTTGGACCAGACGGCTTCGGGTTTGGAACTTTCAATCTCGGGGATTGATTTTAGGCCACTGACGGCGGGGTGGATACAAAAGTATCCTCAATCCTGAACCCGGGCATGCGGTAGGTGAGGAAACCGCAGAAAAGAAGAAGCGAAGACCTTCCTCCCAATTACACACCCCCGCGCTACAAAAAAAAGATGCAGGGGCCCCATCAACAGATGGGGCTCGCCCACATGAAGCCACCCTTCCAAACATCAAAGCCACTCAAAGGTGACCCGAGCCCTCCGAAGGTGACGCCGAGCCTGGCGCAGCCACTCGCGCGCCACGCGCGGCACGGCTTCGCCGGGGCTGCTCGCCCGCCAGAGCAGCACCGGCTTCTTCCGGGCCGCTGCCAGCTTCCTCGCCTCCTCATGGCCACATGGCCATGGGTCAAAATCCAAATCGTACCCAGTGAACACCCCAATCCAACCACTAAAATAGGTTCTAAAATTGGTGGTGAATTCACCTACCAACCAAAATGGTACCATTGGTTTTGACCCACAGCCAAAATGACATGTGTGCTGAGCGCGGAGGGTCTAAGTTGGGGAATGCGGATGAATCAAATGGAGAGGATGCCCTCTCCCAAACCAAAAAAAACATCCCCAGAAGGAGCTCCATGAAAAAATCCCGCCTCTTCGTTGGCCACCTCCTGAGCCAAGGGCTCGGTTTGCATGGCCAGGAACTCCAGCAGGTCGTCGCGCTTCGGGCCCCCCGGGTACCTCGAGCGATACCGGGACAGCCCCGTGGGTGAGCCAAAGGCCGGGGCGCTTCTGCATGGTTCCACCGCGAATGTAGAAAATGGAAGGGTACGCCTCGATGTTGTGCTTGGCACAGCACTTCTCCCCCTGCGACGTCGAGCAATCCTGGGCGCGCGTTCGGGCAAAACTCCAGCAAATGACTCAGTTGCATTGCCAAATTCTTAGAAACAGAAGTGAACCTAGAACCACAAAACCTGTGACTTCCGGAAGGTACATGTTTTGCTGGCTGGCGAAAGGACAAATTGCCCCGCCGTCTCACGAAGAAAAAATGCCTACAAATTACACCAGAAGAGACCCCAAACAGTTGAAGACTGACGGGTAAGCAGAAACACACAAACAACTTGTGCCTTTCTGCGTTTCAACACGGATGAGCCAAATGACGCAGTGGTGAACTCAGCACGCGTTGCGTTGCTGAACGAGTGTTATTGGTGTGCTTCTCGCTTCAGCACCGCGCCAGATTTGAGGTTGGGCCAGCACGTGCCAGCGCGCGCGCGCGCGCATGAACGCAAGTGCGGCTGCGCAAGCGCACGGTCACATGGGCAGCTCAAGCACACATGTCCAATTCAAACACAAATATGTGTATACTCGTGGAACACGCATATGCATACGACTAAAAGAATACATGCGGCACGCACAAATATGCACCCATGAACACACATATAAAAAACATTCACCTGCGGCACACGCATACATGTGCTGAGCTGGAAACAAACATGTGCTTCTTAGGAAACACACACACACACATATATATATATATATACACCTAGAACATACATATGTGTTCGCCTACGACACGCTAAATAATGTATTCATGTGAAACACACATATATTTTCACTTGGAACACAATAAAACACGTGACCAATTCAGACACACATGTGTGTACACATAGAACACACATGTGTTCACCTGGAACACAAACACGCGCAATTAAAACACACATGTGTATACACGTAGGACACACATATGCATACCACTGGAATACAAGTATGTGTCCAGGAACACCGCGTATGCGATGAAAGCACACATATGTATACACGTGGAACACACATATGCGCACACGCGAGTTAAACATAAATGCTCACCTACAGCGCACACCTCGAAAACAACTATACGTTTTCTGGAGCGCATACATGCGTACACCACAAAAATGTCGTCAAATGCAAAACACTGTTCACTAGAACACGCTCACGTATTCATGTGGAACACACATGAAGACACATATGTGTACACTCGGAACACACACCAACCTGCTCGTCTGATAACAGCCATATGCTCTCGTGGAACGCAAACACGTGTCCAATTAGAACATATATTTGTGCACACGTGAACACACATATGTGTACACGTGGAACATACACATGTGTACAAGTGAACACACACATATTTTTGTGCACACGGAACACACAAACGTGCGTTCATCTGAAAACAAACATGAATTCACCTGAAACACAACCACGTGTCCAATTGGAACACACATATGCGTACACGTGAACACACAAATGTACAAACGCGGGACACACATATGTGTACAAATGAACACACATACATGTGCACGCGGCATGTGTTCTCCTAGAACACAAACACGTATCCAGTTGGAACGCACTTCTGTGCATACGTGAACACCCACATGTGTACACGTGGAACACACATAAGTCATAAGTGCACACGTGAACGCACACGTGTTCATCTGACAACAAACATGTGTTCTCCTGGAACACATACACGTGTCTGATAAGAACACACATGTGTGTACACGTGCAACACGCATACGTGCACACTTGAACATACATATGTGCACACGTGAACACACACACATATATTTGTGCACAACACACAGACGTGCGTTCATCTGAAAACAAACATGAATTCACCTGAAACACAATCACGTGTCCAATTGGAACACACATATGCGCACACGTGAACGCACAAATGCACACACGCGGGACACACATATGTGTACAAATGAACACACATACATGTGCACGCGGCATGTGTTCTCCTAGAACACAAACACGTATCCAGTTGGAACGCACTTCTGCGCATACGTGAACACCCACATGTGTACACGTGGAACGCACATAAGTCATAAGTGCACACGTGAACACACATACATGCGCACGCGGAGCAGACACTCACACGTGTTCATCTGACAACAAACATGTGTTCTCCTGGAACACATACACGTGTCTGATAACAACACACATGTGTGTACACGTGCAACATGCATATGTGCACACTTGAACATACATATGTGCACACGTGAACACACACACACACACATATGCGCACCCGGAGCACGCACACACACACACACACACACACACACGCACAGACACGCGTTGATCTGATAACAAACATGTGTTCTTGGAACACACACACACACATGCGTACACCTGCAACACGCATTTGTGTTCACATGGAACCCATACATGTTTTCAATTGGAACAGGCATTTGTGTTCACGCGCAACACTGGCGCGGACCTAGATCGCACAAACATGTTTAACCAGAACAAACACTTGTAACACACATATGTGTACACAAGGAACACAGGTATATGCACATGTGGAGAAACATGCGCAACACAAAAACGTGTTCACAAGGGTTTTTTCATGGAATTTACATTTTCTGCACGCCTGGGCAACACATAAATCAATTCCCCAAGCCGGCTGTGAGGCGCTATTCCATGGGGCTCTGCCTTGAACAACGCTTGCGCTTTATATGCGTGTTCCAAGTAGGAAAATAGTGTTCCTGTGCGACTAATCTAGCTTTTTTGCAACACGTTGCTACCGGGCGAGCCTGCTACTGCTGCTGCTACTACTGCTAGTATTATCAGTATCACATGCGTCTCCAGCATGTACAGGCTTCAGCTTAGCAAAGCTTTCCGGCGCATTGCGCTTCTTTCTCGCTTAGCTGCGCAGTGTCTTTCGTGTCGAACAATCTGTTGCTCGATAGAACGCGTTAAAGTGCCTTTATCGTGTTGTGGCAACTCTTCGTATCGATTCAGAAAAGCATTTGCTTTCGCAGGGAAACACGCAACCTGACTACTGCGCTAGCGCCTTTCTAGCGCGAGGGGCTAGCGCGAGTTCGCCGTATTTTTTGGAGTCACGGCGACCATCTGTGTGGACTTGAGAAATTTAGGCCACGTAAGATTCAGGTAAACGTGCGGGCTGGCTTCAAGTACGAGCAAGGACTGCAACGTTACACCCTTGAAAGCCACACAAAGCCCATCGCGGTAACCCACGCGCCAACTCTTGGAAACCAAGATCACCGAAGACCCTAGCGCCATCCTAGCGCCTCCAGTGGGGAGCGGGCAATCCATTGGTATTTGAAGGACTCCGCTTTGTATGAATGAAAACTGCACAAAGCGCCTGCGACGGTGGCCTCTGTAGACTAAACTCCCTTACTAAGAATTCTGACCAGATCGCATAAGTGTTTGATTGGAGCAATCCCACGCTTTTCCTGCAACACAAAAATGTGCTCACGTAGACCCGCCTCCAAGACGCAACCCAGGCCTACAACAACAGTTGCACTTGCGTGGAACATGATGCTGCATGGTCCGTGCGCTATTGCCCCGTCCCCCGAAACCCTCCGAGTCTTGCACAGCACGAAACACCACGCCCTTTGAGATTCGCACGGCGCCACAGCGAGAGCGACTCGACACGTGCAATCTCTCCGCAGAGGGTTCGTCGGCAAGACGCGCGCGCTTAAATACGCGTTTCTGAGCCTCAAACACACATGCGTGCCTGCACACTACACCGCAAATGAATCCGTCCACCCAGGAAGCCGTGCCAGGCAGAGACAAATAAGGGAGACAAAGGAGACACATGAACCCGTCCACCCGGAGAGCCGTGGCAGGCATCGAGGCTGCCAGACAACGGGGGAGAAATGAAGGGAGACAAAGGGAGACAAGACAAATGAACCCGTCCACCCAGAGCCGTGCCAGGCATCCAGGCTGGGAGACAGCGGGAGACAAATGAAGGAAGAGAAAAGGAGACAAACGAACCCGTCCACCCGGAGAGCGGTGCCAGGCATCCAGGCTGGGAGACAACGGGAGACAAATGAAGGGAGACAAAGGGAGACAAATGAACCCATCCACCCGGAGAGCCGTGCCAGGCATCCAGGCAAAATACAACGAAAAAAGGGAGACAAAGGGAGACAAATGAACCCGTCCACCCGGAGAGCCGTGCCAGGCATCCCGGCTGGGAGACAGCGGGAGACAAATGAAGGGAGACAAAGGGAGACAAATCCCGTCCACCCGGAAAGCCGTGCTAGGCATTCAGGGGCAGACAACGGGAGACAAATGAAGGGAGACAAAAGCCGTGCCAGGCATCCAGGCTGGGGCTTGGCAATAGGCGAATCACTTTACATGAATTTATAACCCCTAACAGTATTTTTTCGGAAAAAAGCGTTGCACAAGATGCCCCTTTGAGGATTGCCCGACAGTGGGGAAAAGTTGCCGTTTGCAAGGGAAAAGCTGCTGTTTGGCCAGATAAAATTGCTGTTTCGATTTGGCAAGCGACTGCCTGCAATGCTCAAGTTGAAAAAGTGTGGCTCGCACAAAAAAAGCGCCATCTCGATGGAAAACACTGTTTCAAATGGTAGGAGCGACGGCAGCAGCAGAAGCAGCAAGACAGAAACGAGGAGAAGGGAAGGAGAAGAAGAAGAAGAAGAAGAAGACAAAGAAGAATTAACACACGTGACGTTGACCAAAAAACACGGAGAAACATTGAGAAATAGGCAAAGACATTCATGCGAGGCATACCGCCAACTGAGCAATCTTCTTTCCCAACAGTTTTTTCCCCAAGAACTGCTCACCGTTCGCAACCTGCGAAAGCATCGCTCAAAAAGCCAAGGCCTGTCCTTCCCGGCATCTGAAATATCAACCGGGCATGTCCCATAGCCTGCCTGGAGCACTCTCTACAGCCGCAAAGCGCTCAAATCACTGACCAAAACTGGATTCGTAAGCAAACAACGGCCGCGTGTGGGTGCGCTTGCCAGGCGTGGACATAGTGCTGAGCAGGGGCACGGGGGCGGGCGTTACCGTTGTGGCAGGCATGGAAACAATGATGCAGGCGCGCCTGGGCGTAGATACAGCGCTGACGGGC